GGAGCTGGAGAGCTTTATGCAGTTCCTCTTCGAGTATGCGGACACGTGTCTGGGCAGCTGCAGTGAGCACATCGAGAAGATCATCGACACGCTGATGCAGCAGCGCAGCGTTCTGGTTTAGTTTAAAATAATACGTGATTCTTCGTCCAACTAATCTGTTACAAACTAATCATAAGTATATATACGCACATATATATCTGTAGGCACTAACATATAATGTTGTAAACATATTTTTTATTCCCAATAAACTTTTATTATTCAGTGAAAGACTAGTGAGCTAATGTTACTTCATAAATTCCATTTGAATTTAGCTAGGGCAATCATACTCGTAATAATTCAATACAATATTAATTCTAAGGCCCTGCCCTGGCTTATGCTGTGGTGTGGCTCGGCATTGAAAATCTATAAAACATAAAGAATTATTAATATGCATTAATTATTAAAACAAAATGAAAACCACAATGAGATTTTCTTTTAACGAGTCGTCGTACATAAATATACTTAAAATATATTATTTGTAAGAAACAAAGACTTAATACTGATAAGATTATTTTAATTGAATGTCAAACCTAGCATAAGCCTAAATATACCTTCATAAACAAAGTTATGATCAAACTCAAACGACTCGTATTTATTATTCCTTATAACCGATCGATTGTAAAATACTCATTTACGATTCCGAAATAATTAACATCTAAAGAGGGTAAGTACTGTCGGTTAACAGTCCAATATGGGAGTTCTAGAGGTTGGTATGGATCTGCCCGATTTGCTACGCCCATTAATTTTAGATATATACGCTTTATGTTTTAGATCTTGGCTTTATATTTACTAATATATCAGATATAGCCTCATACGATCATATGATTTTCGGAAGAGCTTAAGGTTTTATTAGACAATGGTATAATCTAAGTATATCTATGAAAATCAAATTAAACCAAACCCAAAGCGAAACAAACAAAATTAATTTACTTTTATACATTCAGTTTATTAGCCTCTATTATTTTTACGAAATAATAAATCATTTTTGGCATTCAATTCCTAAGTTTGGAAACCAAAAAAAAAAAAAAAAAAAAAAATGTAATTAGCGGTAAAATATTATATAGTTTACAAATATACATATATCTATTTACTTATTTTTCTATGATTTTTTTTACAGATATGTTAAGTATTGGTTCTCTCTTGCAGTTAGTTTCGCAATATTTTTGGAAATGGAAGCATATTGGCTCTGCGCTGGGAGTTTATTTGACCAGCCAGCCATTGGGGCATCTAAGAACATGCTGCTCAATTGGCCCATTCAGCTTTAGTTGTCAAGTATATAAGTGGATGTTGAATGCATCATCAGCGTCTTTAGCACATTCGCCACCCGCCTCTTCGGCTGGGTGGACGGCGAGTGGGTCCATTGTGTTTGCATTGCGCATACGCCACGTAGGGCAAGTGGCATCACGTTGCATTTGCCGGCGCTTGGCAAAATATTTATCTTGGGGTTTTTGTGGCCAGCAAACAGGAGCTCTGCAGAGCTTAGCTATGCAGCAACAATGTCTGCTGGCAGCTGCAAGCATTTGCTGATGTGCACTGATGTGCAGTTGGCACTCGAGTGGGTAACGCCCACGGACTCAATAACAATTTCACGTTCCGCTACCCAAAGTGCTGCACAAACACGAAATCAAATAAAATCAGAAATCGTCGCACACGACCACAAAACTGTGTTAAGCCTTTACATATATACATATCTTCTGGTCATTCTTAGTTGATTGGCCACTTGACATTTGTGCCTCTATAGCTTAAAAATATATAAATAACTACACGGTGTATATATACTTACTAAATATAGTTATTAAATTTATTAAATTTAGTCCCACATGACTTTTATTCTTTCGAATTTGTTTCATTTAAATTCGACGTTAATCTGCTTTTAAAAAAATAATATCGTTGCATATCTTCGGGGCGTTGGCATTGCGGACGCTTATGAGTCGATTTTTAACGAAAATCGGACTGAAATACCAGGGGAACAGAAATGATCACCCCATTGAAAATGTTAATTTAGCATGGCTATGTTAACTAACAGAGTGGATCGTAAGCTTTCTGCTAAATAATAGCTCATGTTAATTGAGTTATATAAAGTCTTGCGCTCAATAGTAGCCTCAGCTTTAAAGGTAATATTAAGTCGAAATACTTAATTTCAACCCAGTTCAGTTTGAGTGATGTTATTTAGGCTACATTAAATTGCTACTCAACCTGCGAATTTAAGTGTATGGAGTCATTTCCAATGGGATATAAGCTGCAGGTTAGCGAGACTCGTATCTATAGTACTATGTAGGAAGGAATGACAAAAGTCAACTTGGAATCATACACACACATATATTTAATTTAGCTGAAAATAAATCTTTATTTATGTTCAAATACGATTATATATATGCATAGAATTAATTGTAGTCTTTATTTTATAAACTAAGAACTAATTTACATTTTGAGTGACGAGGTAACATATTTACAACATATTTAGTTATAATATCAAAATATAGAAATATAACAATAACAAAATAAAAACGTAATCTGTATATAATTTGCCAGAAGAGGAAGAAAGTATGTTTCCGCTCCGATCCGTGCGAAAGTCCGCATTCAACTAACATAGACCTTAGAGCTTACTCATATATAACAATACAAAAATTACTCAACATGAGTACATTCCCACGCTTTTACTATCCACATAACTCGTAGACCGCAATGCACGCACACCACGCTACTGATCCGTTAATTGTGAAGTGTGCGACGCACACTGTGCGTGCATTCGCTTTTTGATGCACTTGTGGATCCTCTCAGCCACCATTCGCAAAGTACTCATTTAAGCTTCTATAAAGCTTTGATCTAAGCTACGCCCTGCGCACTCTGTGCGCCCATTTGTGGATCGTCTGTTAAAATTTTATTGGAATGTCACAGTTGTGCGAGTCTTCAGGTAAAAAAAAAAATAATTATTATTAAAATTAGTATTTTCGTTACTTGATGTAATTTTGTTTAAATACATACATACACAATTATATATAAATATGAAAAAATTGATTATGATAAATATATCGCAAGCAAATTAAATCCAATTATGCATACATTTATGTAATTGTGTGAAATGTAGTTGACATAGTGATTGCGTTGATACAAATAAAGATAAATGTGTGATATACATATGTATGTGTGATGTAAGTAGAGGCGAAAGACCACAGTTCGGTAATAATAATGAGCTTTCAACTAAGATAATTCCCACGCTCTCACCTACAGGCTACATTCCACACTCCACTAAAATGTCTGAGTGTGTGTGTGTGTACGGGCACATGTGGATCCTCTCAGCAAGTAGAAAGCAAGCGCGCTCAGTTAAGCTGCCAAGTGTGCTAGTTGCTTTAAAAAGAGCAGAGCTTTTGAGTTTAGATCACAAATCAAAAAGCATGTCTGTAGAGCTTTTGGTTACAAAAGAGTTGCAAATTCTACTGACTTTATATGTATATGTGTTAATATGTAATGTAAGTTTGTAAGCTGGAAAACAAATATAGTGACTTAGTATGTGATGTGCATTTTTTATATTATACTTACATATATTTTGTTAGCGTATTTGTAAAATGTAACTTTTTATACTTACTGCTCTGGAAGAAAGAATCTTTCATAAATAAATTTTCGATAGCAAACGAACAATTAAATACATTATATTTATATTATTTATATTCATGTTTTGCATTTCAAGCAATCTCATTATGTAATTTACTCCGCTGCCGCCTGTTTTTGACTGCGGATGCAATTCATTAAATGTACATTATCACTCTTATCATTAAGAAACACAAACTAAAGCCTATGATATATTTATGTTCGTTTATATGTAGTTTAGTTCTTAATTAGGCTGCCATTTGAATATGTGAGCATAGTTCAGGATATATAATATATTTAAATATGTTTCATGTGCCGATCGTCGATTGTTTCATATCATAATTGCTCTGCCGTTTTGATTCACGCCTCTCCACTCTCTCGGTTCACTGATGCCGGATTTGATGGAGACAGGAGAGGAAGAGTTTCTCTTTTATGGACTTCATAAACATAAAGCTGTCTAACTTCATACAAATTTAAGCGCAATTTAACGTAATGCTTATAACGAGTACATAATTTACAATTCTTTATGTGTGTCTAATTATTTACATATGTTTGTTTGTCTAGATTTTAAATATTTTTTTCAGTATGTATGTTTGTTTTTCTTTTACCATTTGTCAACAATTATGTTTATTTAGTTATTTTTGTTTGCTCTTATGCATTGTTTAATACTTCAACTTTGGGTTCGAGCTGACAAACAGGTTTTCCATGAAATAGTTTTTTAATGAAATTGTAATGTTAACCGGTGCGACAGCAAAAAATATTTTACTTACACATAATGAAACCGAAACGGAATTCAATTTTGATTTTGACTTTCGAAAAAAAAAGCAAACAAAAAATTCTGCTCGCTCTATACACTATATCATCAATGAGAACTCGATTTAAAACTAATCACAATAAAATATAATTAATGTTAAATCCTAATAGATTAAAATTAACTAAAATTATATTTAATTCACACATATGCAAAATGTGAATAAATATGAATGCTTAACACTGAAATACTGAATGGCCTATGATATCTTGTTGATGAGGGAAGAGCATTAGCATATCTTCTGTTCATTTAATTATTTTAATTAATTTACTGCCATTTCTGTTTGCATTTAAGTTCAGGGATGGGTTAGGCAAGGTAGACCGATATACAAATACTTTAGATTTTTGTTGCTGTGTGCTATTTTATATACCCTGTACTATTTGAAAATTACTACAAATCTCACAGAACATAATAGTTGTAGTTATGTGTGTGCATGTGTATAGAGTTGTGTGTATGTGTATTTGTGTAAAGGCAAGTATAAACTAAAGGGGTATATTCGAATCGGTCACCACCCACTAGAGCACACTAGGTTATTTTCTATTGTTGGGTTTCATTTTGTGTCGTTCTCATCGTTGTAATGGCACTTTAATGATACTGTTTTGCTCTTAACTTTTTATTGACGCGAATGCATGGCCAGGAGCGAAAGAAGCGCTAGCAGCCAGCAGATAGCACGTGGTCCTTGACCTCCGCTGGCCTTGCCCTTGGACCAGTCGTAGCCCTCCTGATTGCCACCCATTAGCTTCTGTTCGGATTTGCCGATCTCGTTCAAATTCGATTGGTATTTAATGCCCACTGCCAGTCGAGGAAACAAATTCAAATTGCAAATTAGAGTCCAATTATTAGACTAATTGAACAATACTAAACTGGCTGAACTACTCACATTTGTCAATTACAATCACCGAATTTGTGGGCACGTCTCCGCCCAGGCCATCAAATGCCACATTGCCATCAAAGGGTAAGTTCATTGTTGTTGTCGTTGTGGGCAAAGTTGTTGTTGTGGGCGGCGGTTGGGTGGTTGGCGGACTTGACACTGTTGGGAAGTACAAAAAAGCTTTTAATAATATAAGCTTTCGAAGTATCAATGAGCTTTGAAAGTACATTTAAACATTAAGGGTAAGGCTTAAACGAAGATAAGTTTTATGAAGATTAATAAAATTTATTATTATTATAATATAAGTTTTATTCTTAATATTAATATTAATATGAAGGGAGTACCTACTCAATGGTAAAATTCTTATTTAATGGATCAACTTAAGCAAGTCTTTTTTTTTTTTTTTTAATGAAATAAAACATTTTTCTTATATTACTTATATGCCTGTAGTTTACTATTTTCATTAACTATTTGCCAACTGAAAGTCGCCTTGAATAGCTGCGATATCATTTAATTTTCTAACTTAATCTTCAAGCGCTAGTTCCTATAGCCGTAGAGTCGTCGTAAATAAGCCGCTATTGAGTCGCCTTTCGTTTTCAATTCAATTTCTTCCCTTTTTTTCGGGCTGCTCTCTGGTGCCATATCATTATTGACGGCAATTTGTTGAGCAAATTTATGAGGCTGGGCGCTTGTGCTGCTTGCCCTTTTGCTGCTCTGCTTTGACTCCTTATCGACTGCACTGCCACGAGGACGAGACGCCAAACTCTCATAGAGCAATGCTGACCACTTAATAACATTGTCACAGGTTCATTGTTCTCAATGTATTGTGTATTGTGTGCTGGCTTCCATTTTGGCCGCCCTCTTATTATCGGCTGCTGTGGCTGCTCTTTGTTACCTTTAATTGGTTGATCGTTGCCACCGCCCCCGCTCCAGCTCCCGCACAGTATCACTGTCAGCTTGTGTTGTATTGTTTGTTGTCGCCGCCCATTCCCCGCGAGACGCGTCGCTGCATGTGTTTTTATCGCCTGTGCGCCCCAAAAATAAATTAACTTGTCGCATTTTCACATTGACAATTTCTGGCCGTTATTGGCCATGGCCTTTAGACGGCGCCATCTTTTTATTGTGGCGCAATGAACGAAACGAACGGATATTTTATATTGTTTTATGAACTTTTGTGACCGGAATTTGCGAGCTGTATTTATATATATATGTATACATGTATACTGCAGTCTGCTACTTTAATGGCCCAACAACTGGGACTGATTTAGCAAATTGACAGATTATTGGCATTTTATTGGCCTCGTGTCCTACGTAACAATAAAATCATTAAATTGCCGCTTAAATATACGCTCATGTATAATTTATACGACTTTACAAGCTCTGCTATCGATTGACAATTATTTAACCTGCAAACAGCTAAATAATAAATGTTGAAAGTTTTTATATTGAAATACAATTTGTCTTTGTAAGGCAAGTGAATAGATTGTAATTTACTTGTTGCACTTATTTATCACATTTACGTATATAACTTCAAAAATTGTTAATGTAACAAAATTATTATTATTTTTTTTTCATTAAGTCAGTTAAAGAAATAAATAATATAGTACAATTATCTCATAATTTACGAAAAAAATAATAATAATGCGATCGGTTGTAACCTGTAAGAAAGTCCGCAAACAACTAACAGGTAGAGAGAGCTTAGAGCTTACTTAAATACAAAAACATCTCAAGAATCACTCAACAAAAATAAATTCCCATGCTTTTACTATCCACTTTAGTCGTAGACTTCTATGCGCACACACCACTCTACTGATCCGTTAATTGTTGTATATGTGTGTAAGCGATTTTTCATGCACTTGTGGATCCTCTCAGCTTCCACTAGTCAACTGCTCATTTCAGTTTTCTGTGCGCCCATTTGTGGATTGTATGTGGACTCTAACTGAGTGGACTTAAATTGAGTGCGCTCAAAGAACGAAATATATGTGTAAGTGTGATTGTGTATGTTGGTTTCACTAAACAGCTTTTAACTGTGCATCCTCTCTTGTTGCTCTGTTTGTCGTTTGATGGCCTTTAACATTTGTTTATGTATATATGCACATCTGAATTATTTATATGTACGTATGAATGCATCAAATATATTATCAAATTTTAGCAATCAACTAAAGCTTTATCAGTCACCAATTCAATGCATTGTCTAAAGTGCAGCGGAACAATGTTGTTTATTTTCTTTTCAAAAAAAAAATTATTTATATACAATATAAATATGAAGCTTTATGCGCTGTGAACGTATGCAATACAAGAGTTCTCGGACAACTGAATTAAGTAGACAAAGTTAGCTCTTTTGAAATAAGTAAATAATCACTCAGTAAAGATAATCCCCACCCGCTCTCTTACAGCTTTCAATCCACACAGCTTTTATGTATGTGTGAGTGTATGTGTGTCTGACCATCGATCCTCTCAGTAACCTTTAAGCAAAAGCTTCGATTCTAGCATTTTTAGCTCACACCAAAGCTTTTCTAGGCTACTAAATTATTTTGTAAATAATAAGGGGGCTTGATTATGATAACACTTAAGCGGAAATAGTTTGTACGATATTCAGGAAGTTATAAAGAAATTGCAAGTCTCTAGCTCGAATACGTTCTGAGATGAATAGTTTATATTTAATAGGAAAATTGTATACTGATTTCCGCAAATGCGTTTAAGTCTGAATCTTCGTTAGATCAGAATAGTTAATAATGAAAATTTAGACATGAGACTGCTTTACACTAACAACATTATTCAACACATATCGAAATATATAGATAGATCGTCGAAAATGCAAACTGCGATTCATTTTTCACAGAGAGTCGGATTGATAGCCGAACAATTTGGCTAAAAACCGTAAGCCCCTATTTAACTTTTCGTTGGAGCCTTTCGCCTGTTGCCTATCTAAACCCAATGACCACATTATCTGGCTACAATTACATCCACTTCACACGCACACACACCCCCACACATACGCATCTCTGTCAGACGCCATCCAATCAAGTGCACACATTCAGCCGCCATAATTAAAGCCGCAAATGGTGTAGTTTTAGAAATTTGCCGTGTCCAGAAAATTAGTGTGCGCACATTTGGGCCAACATTTGTTATTTATCGTAGTCGAGTCTGCGTCTGTGTGTCTTTGCCTATGTGTGCGTGTGCCTCTGTGCTGTGCGGCGGCACATCGGTACACGCATAATGGGCCAATATTAAAATGCATAAATAACACATTGCAGACACTTACTATAGAGTTTTATGTTGCCATCCATGTCGCCACGAGGATTTTTGGCGACACATTTGTAGTTGCCATAATCGCTGCTCTCCACATTGGTAATCGTCAGCCGCATTGTCGCCTTGTACGATGGATGACCCGGAATTGTTTCGGTTCTGCAATGAAGCAAGTTCAACAGAAATTCTTATTACAATTAAATAGCAAACAAAATTGTAATACTAGGTAGAGGGAAAGCATCTCATCTGTGCAAGTTCAATGACAGCAATTGTGACGAGTGGCGCAGCTTCAATGAGCCCCAATCAGAGTAATCAAGGTCAAGGTGAAACTGATAAGCGTAGCCGCTGCCCACTTATGTTTAATCAAAGTGCCACCCGGCAGAGTAGGCACAGTGGTTAAATATCCATAATCAAATACGACGTTAAGCTATTGACCAAGGACAACAAATTTGAAATTTTTAACCAAACAAATAATAATAAAAAAAAAAATAATAAAAAATGCCGAGAATATCTAATTTAAATTTTTCCACTGTCATAAACTGTAATTTTTAATT